CTCTTATTCAAGGTCAACCAAGACAGCCAGTTCAACTTCGAGTTTATTCTCTTACTCATAATTAGCATGAAGAACCTATTGATGATGTTGATGGTATCAAAGATTAATGAGTTTCATCTGTTATCACATGTTTTAGGAGTGTTTTTCTTATGTATTTTTTTGTTTCAGAGGTGTGTTGTTATGTTATATTGCTTCAGATGTTATGTTAGCCTCTTTCAATTGATGGGGAATGTGAGTTTAGTATTTTGTATTAGACTTTTTGTTTTAATATATCCATGTTTCGACCAGTTAAATGAGATTTAAACTTTTTCATTAAATTCATGGATTATTTAAGTTTTAACTGTTTAATAAGTGATTTGATACTTGGAGTAGATTTGTAAATTTTGATGACGAAATTTTCTAAGGATGGGAGATTGTAATAATTGAAAATAAATAAATAAATATTAAATAATAATAATAATAACAAAACAAATAGGCACTCAGACAAGCATCTTTTCAATTACAACATAAGGGTTGTATCCCTTATTCACACCAATCGCACCCATCGAATTAGATGACTGAGAGAGTGAAGTAGAGCTAGCATGAGAAACTGAGGAAGAAGAAGAAAATAAGAAGAAGAAGAAGAGAAAGGAGGAGAAGAAGGAGAAGGGGGAGAGAAGGGTACGATTTATTTTGTCGTGTAATGCTGAATATTTTGTGAACGGGAAGCATTCAGGAGGATTTTGTGTCCTAGTTGTTTGGCAGAGAGGGAGGCCGCGGTTTAGTGTGTGATTACATTGCGAATCAATTGAGGAAGAAGGCATAGGCGATGGAGGTGTGCAGCACCGTGCTCTAGCCATGTGAAAGAGGAGGGAGGAGGTTGTAGCGGCGAATGCTTGCGGATTGAGTCACAACCAAGGGCAGAGGCGGAAAGAGAAACATCGTGCTCGCGAGCGGTGGAAGAAGCTTTCACGTTGAAGAAGAAGAAGAAGAAGGAGAAGGCGCTCGTGTGGTGCTGGGTTGAAGAAAGGACCAAAGGTTTTAAAAGCATATTAAGGTTTTTTAAATTTATCTAATTATATTTAATTATATTAAGTATTATTATACACTGTCATTGCTAGTCCCAAACTTGGATGTGAAAAGTGGAAGGTTGCGTTAGGTAGTCGACAGCCAGCGTAAAACTTGTCGAAAAAATCATGACATGAAACCTTCTGATTATAAACTAGCCAAACAAAGAAAAAAAGAAAAGTAAAGATTTAACTCAAGTAAAGTGTATTAAAGATGAAAATAAAAAAGTGATTTTTTTAGGAAAAATATTAAAAATAGGTTGGTGAGTTATTTTGATAAACTTTTTAATGAAGTTTCTGAAAAATACGATCGATCTTAATAATCTTAATATTGTTTAATAATAATAAGACATTTCATTTTTATCGTCGCATTAGTAAAAAAGAAGTTGAGCAGGCTTTAAAGAATACCAAGGTTCTGTAGGACCTGATGATATTCCAATTGAGGTGTGAAAATATTTAGGAGATTTGGCAGTTTCATGGCTTACTAAACTTTTTAATATTATTTTAAAACCTAAAAGATGCTTGAGGAGTGGAGGAAGAATATTTTTGTCCCCATTTTTAAGAATAAAGGGGATGCACAAGAGTGCAAATTATAGAGGATATAAGTTGATGTGTCATACATTAAAATTATGGGAGAGGGTAATTGAACATTGGCTAAGACGTATTACAAAGATTTCTCGTAATCAATTTAGATTTCTGTCGGGCAGATCTGCTATGGAAGTTACACATTTATTGAGAGGTTTGATGAAAAAGTTCAGAGTTAATAAGAAGGATGTACATTTGACTATGATTGGTTTAGAAAAAACATACGATAAGGTTCCAAGAGATACCTTTTGGAGAGTTCTTGAGAAGAAAGGTGTTGATATGATTTATATTCAAGTCATTAAAGATATGTATACTAGAGGTGTTACTTGTGTTCGAACAGAAGGAGGATTGACCAAATATTTTCCTATTTCTGTTGGCTTACATTAGAGATCGGTTTTAAGCCCCTATCTTTTTATTTTAGTTATGGATTGTTTACTGGACATTTACAGGAAGGAAGATGTACTTCGGCGTATGCTTTTTGCTGATGATATCCTTCTCGTCGGCGTGTGCTTTTTGCTGATGATATCCTTCTCGTGGATAAGACGAGAGAAAAAACCTAGGAAAAACTTGAATTTTGGAGATCTACATTGGAGTCTAAAGGCCTTCGTTTGAGTTGAACTAAAACTGAATACACGGAATGTAATTTTAGTAGTATTAGCTCTAGTAACAGAAGTGTAACTTTGGTTGATCAAAAAATTAAAAGGTGTGAACGATTTAGATATTTTGGGTCTGTTGTTCAAAGCGATGGTGATATAGATGGGGTTGTTAGTGGTAGAATTCAAGTTGATTGGTTGAAGTGGAGGAATGTTTTGGGCCTTTTGTGTGATAGAAAAGTGCCGCTTAGACTGAAAGGAAAATTTTATAAGATGGTGGTGAGACCTGCAATGCTCTATGACGCTAAATTTTAGCCTTTAAAAGTGAAGCATAATACTAAGTTAAGTGTTGCCGAGATGAGAATGATTAGGTGGATGAGTGGCTTTACACTTTGTAACAAAATGCAAAATGAATATATCCGTGATAGGGTTGGTGTTGCTTCTGCAACGAACAAAATTAGAGGGAGTCGTCGTCGATGGTTTGGTCACATTAAATGTCGACCATCTGATGATTTAATTTGTAGAGTAGATGTTTTAGATTCGACTTATTTTAAGAAAGACAGGGGTAGACCTAGGAAGACTTAGGCTTATTGTTTAAAAAATGATCTTAATTTATTAGGATTAAATGAAAATATGGCACTAAATAGGATGCAATGGAGAAAAAGGGTTCATTTAGCCTACCACTAGTGGGGTTAAGGCTTTGTTATTGTTCATGTAGCCGACCCCACTTAATATTATAAATTTGTGTGTGTGAATATAAGTTTAATTAAATAATGTGTTAATAGAAAGTTACTTAAACAAGATAGAAGCTATTAAGTCCTAATTAGAAGGCCTGAGGTGATGCAGACATCCATTACGAAGAGTCGCAGGCGTGAAGTGGAGAACCAAAGCCTAACGAAACCCTAATTTGTGAGTTAAGGGATTTTGATGAGGAAGCTAAGACAGAGGAATGAGAGGAATTTCAAGTATAAAGTTTGATTTCTAATAATTCATTTTTATTTTCTTAAGTAATGAATGTTGAAATGAAATAAAGAACTTCAAATTTAAAATTGATCTAGAATAATAAACACTTAATTAAATAGATAAATGATTAAAATAATAATTGAGAGCTTATAATTAATATGAAAGAAGATTAGCCCTGAAAGGAAATAAAAATATTTATTTACTCTTTTCTTTTACTGCGCAGCCGTTTATTTTATTGTTTACTGCAATTTTTATAGAATATTTTAAAATAAGAATTGTTATTATTTAGAGCCATTTGCCTACTGAGTTATACAACTCAACCCGTAATTTGTTAACATTTTTATAGGAAAGCCAGTTATAGATTAGATAGGACCCAGAGATTTTGTGTATAGACGTCATGGAATGCAGTATGATAGATATTATAGTTCAGCTTTGTTATTATGTTAGATATAAAAGTTTAAATATGAATTAAGTGTTGTAAAGGAAAAAGGTTTTATGAATTAAATTAAATCTTTTGTAGTTTGGTGGATTTTATGTAATATTGAAATGAAATTGATAGATAGGTTTTCTAGGTTGTGACAAGTTGGGGTTAAAGCTTCAAAAGATAGTTATTTTTTCACTTATTGAGCTGGAATATGTTTTTTTAAAATCGAGGTATGCATAGAATTTAAGTATTTGGTCAAAGAGTGGGAAGAGTGTGATGTAATGTGATAGTCAGAATGCTCTGCATTTAGCGAAGAATCTAGTTTATCAGGCCAAGATTAAACACTTTAGAGTACGCTATAACTAACTCAATTTGGTTTTGGAGGATATGTTATTTTAATGTTTAAAAAGAGTATTGGGGGCTTGAATACAACTGATATGTTGATGAAGGGAAACTGAAGTTGTATGCAATTTTTGTCAGAAATCCCTTTGATTAGGCGTCATCATTGTTGCAATGGAGTGTAATGATTAATTTATCTCCAACTGGGAGATTGTTAAGTTGCGGACCTTATTCGACTTCCATGTGGAAGGGGATCTTAGAGCCTCCCTCTGTTCAAGGGGAGACCTCTTGAAAAACATCTAATATTTGTGAAGCATTTTTATTAAGTTTGTTTTGAAGATTTTATTATATTTTTTGGCCGCCCTAATCCTTTCATTATAAATGGGAACGTCATCATTATGGGATATATCTAAAGAGATACGGGTTGTGAAACTCTTTCATTATGAAATTGATAACTGCGCCAATAGGACAGCCATCCATTAGGTGGACCTCTGTAATATTCTTGATATTTGGTGCATCCGTCTTCTTTTTATTTTTTGTCTTAGCTACCATTAAATTAAGCAACTAATCCTTCTATTCTCTTTCTATTTTTCTATCTACAAACATAACCCATAATTTTCTCCATTCAGGGTTAATTCAAGGAAAAAATTAGGCAAATTGATCGCGCAAATTTTGGAGAGAGACAGAAATATCTAGAAGCACACTCTTATTGAAAGACTATACTTAATTCAGGAACTTTGTACTTGACTAATCAGTAGACGTTTTAGTGTAATATTGATCAACTTTTTGCTCCCAATGTCTAACTGGTTGCCACAAGCGCAAGCATCAATTTTACATTTTCTGTAAGATGACATTCTAGAAGCAACAAACAACTTAAATCAAACAATTCTAAATATTATAAACTACTTTATGAAACCTACAGTTGGTTTATGATAAAATAATGCTGACTGATTATTAAAAGGTTAAAGTGACTGAGGTAATTATATTTGCTTTTGTTCCAAAAATATGAACCCCATTCTTTTTTGTTAAAATTTTCAATATTCCATGCAGTATAACTGGTGTACGTCTTGGACGTCAAGGCTTGGAGAAGAGGGTGGTTTCACAAGACTTGGAGTTGTGGCTCTCTAGTGTAATAAATCAACCTCTGACAAGCTCTTCCACTTTCCTCTCGAACAAGAAGAACATCATATGGCTAACATCTTTCTATTCTTCTTTTTCCTCGTCAGGTGCCAGCAAAAGACAAACAGTTCACGCTTCTTGCACGAGCTGGAAGACAGGTTAGTCCTTTATTCTTTTGTTGTAGAGCTTTTAATTCAACCTTCCATTTACAAACGTCATAAAAGATCAACTGCCCGCAATTTATATTTTAGAGTTATTTACATACATACCTCATAATTCTCTTATATTTACATATCTAACCCTAAAAGTTTTATATTTACATTTATAACAATAACTATTTAACATTACATCAAATATATCATTTTTATTAACTTTTTTTATAGATGAAATACACCTTTCCATGCATAGTTTTATAACACGGAAGTGTTGTAAGTGTAATTATGAAACTTTAGATTTTTTATTTGTAAATACATAAGAGTTCATAAGAATTATATGGTTTTTTCCTATATTTTATTGCTTTTGAAAAATAGTTTTAATGGGATGGAAGTAAGGGTGAGTCTAACAACGAGGTTGGGTTTTGTTTGTTTGTTGTGTTAACTCTTGGGCGGAAAACAAATGAGAGCTAAGTTTGATGATAAGGTGAAAATTCTCATTTATTTTCAGCTCGTTCATTATCAAGTTGATCACGAGCTCAACAAGAACAAAATAACAATTTTTTATTTATAGAGCTTTTAATTATCATATTTATATAAAATTTTAAGGGTACATTCAATGATTCTTTTAAGGAAGGTTTACACACATACCACTGAATTCATGTGTCACTTTTTAAATGTTAAAAAGGTGGTATTGTGATGTGATATGAAAGATTTGGATG